GTCTGAAAAATACAGTAATTACAAAAATAATTGAAGTCCAATATAAACATAATTTTTGGGTTATTTTGTGTTTTTATTATGGGGCATTCATCTCCCAATTAAAAAATGGTTATGCACCTGGGCCACAATTTCTCCAGCTTATTTTGAAGTTATACTTTTTGCATTTGGAAAAAAATGTGCTTTATGGTTACTTGAAGAACGTTTGAAGATGAAATTTTTGTTTTAGTCTTGAGAGCAAAGGAACTAACATTCTTCTAAAAGTCTGGCTAGTGCAATGTCAGGGAAAATGCATTCAAATAATATGTGCAAATTACCTTGATATTCAGGTGTTCCAACAATTTCTCGTAGTTCACCAAAATTTCCAATATTCCGAGACAAACCAAAGTCAACTATTTTTATGTCACCAAGGGGACATACACTACTCAACAAAATATTCTGGGGCTACAATAAACAAACAAACGTTATTGATATATAAATGAATTAATTATTTATATTATATTTGGAAATGTATACATCAATGCGTGAACAAGGCTACCTATACTGGGATAATCCCAGTGGAATCAATGGAACTCTAAATGTAGGTGGCTGTCAAATAGCTCCTTAGTAATAGATTATTTATTTTCATAATAAACCTAAAGATACATCCCAGCCTTTTAGAAATGTTAAAAAAAGATCAAAAATTCAACACCTTATTTTTAATTAATATCCCACGTGTTCAATGGGAAGAAATGGTGGGATGGAAAACAACTTTTTTTTAATTTGCCTCTTTTAATTCTAAAGTAAATGAGACTATAAAGATAAAGCTCACACAGTTTTGACACTTTGCTATTAATCTCATTATCAGCATAAATAAGTTGTAAAATTGCAAGTAGCAACACAACTCTTTCAAAAGCAGCCTGCGGCTTTTATCTTTAGCTTTCCTAGTTAGAATTACTTCCAACTAAAAAGAAAAGCAAATGACAAAGTGAAAAATCCGTTTTTAGACAAAATCAAAGAGAAGGAAAAACAAATGGAAAAACTAAAGTACTGGGTAGAAAGCTAAGTATGCTTGCTCCAAGTACTTATTTAAATATTTGGTTTTTAAAAAATAAGCATTATGAATTTTTATCCATTTGAAATTTTTACAATTCTTTACATGATTATTTGGCTTGTTGTATATCTAATGATATAAAAACTTGTAATAAATATTATGAAAAAGCCTATTAAATAAACATTTGATGTATTTAGATTCTATCGCTTACTCTGAAATATTTCCAACTATGTAATAGCATATTGCCCATAATTTGTATTGCCTAACAGTTGTAATCTTTAACATGTAAGATTTTACATGTCAGTAACAGCTAAAACTCTGAAGATACGTGTGGAATAACATTTATTTACCCCCCATTTTCATACAGTTATTACTTTACAATTTTTAAAACACTATCAATGAAGGTTACTATGCATATTACCTTTAAATCTAGATGCACAATATTATTTTGATGCAAATGGAAAACACCTTCGAGTATTTGTCGTATAAGCCTAATGATAGCAATTTCCTCTATGGTTTCTTCTAGGTCAGGGAGACATAGATTAAAGATTTCTCCTCCAGCTGCACTGAAAAAATTATATGCAAACACATGTAATTGTCAGTATCTTACTGTCAGAACATTGAAGTCAGCTGTTGGCTTATAATTTCAAACAGTTTCAAACAGCTTATTTAAAATGATATTGGTGAAGATAAACAAAAGTGAATTGTTCTTCTTTTATACCTTTAGAAGAACCAGTCCTTTCAAAGATAAAATTGCAGTAAAGAAATTATATGGAAAAAAGCAGAACTGAATGCAAGCATCACAACTGTGAGCTCAAAGAAATGGCATCACTTTCTATAATGTTAATAAATAACAACAAAAAAACAGATTGGATACTGGACTCTCAACAAAGCCTGTTACTGGTGCCAAAGGAATCTTTTATTTCTAAAATATGGCAGTTGCTTTCCTAGTCAAGTAAGTAACAATCAACGACTATGATCCAGAACACATGAAGCTTGTTTTGTCTTCTTTAGAGTTTCTAACACTCTTTTTAATTCTCTAAAAAAGAATTAAAACATTTTATCCTGAACCACTTTTCATCTAAGAATCTGAAAGTAAACAAAAAATAGTTCGACTGGTATAAATTTTTAGTTCACCACAACCTCTTAAGAAATGCAAAAAATGTAGCCTTCTATTTTTTGGAATACATTTTGATTTGGCACTCTGGTCACATACCTTCCCCGAAGCAATCATGTTTATTTATATTTAATACACACATAATTTAAGAAAGAAGATGAAAACAAAATGTATGCCAGAACCACAGCCACACATCAATGAATTTTCTTCCATTGCATTCTAAGATTCCTGTGCGCACACCCAAATAATTTTTGCACACATGCAACATACTTTTTCAACTAACTGCATATCCTTTGCATTGGAATATGTGATGCAATAAACATGGTATTGTTTCATATACAAATTCCACAACCCATATAATTTTTGCATCATTTGTGCTCAAGGAAAACTTGGCCCAAATAGACACTTTCACTTCAAAAGAGTAGCAGTTGATTTTGTTAATATCACATCATGAATTTATTTGTCTTTATCCCCCAGTTTTCTTCCATGAAACAAGACAGCTTATATGGGGATCACCCTTAATATTTTATCAGTATAATAATTATGTGAGTTCTTTGCATTCAGTGAAAGTTACTTATTTTAGACAATATATATTTGTATATATATATTTCATCTGCATCCTGCTAAAAAGATTCACTCATAAGCTATATATTTATTTCAGCAAATCTGACACATTAACATATAGTGCAGAGATTTTAAAAGAGCTAGAAAGATGGAAATAAGATTAGTGTGGATATGGCCTACACTGACAATATAGAAAGCCAAATTGTACAAATGTGAAATTGTCACACAGCACAATTTCACACTAGAAAAGAATGGCTATTTAGCACTGAACAAAATAATTGAACTGTATCAATTAAAAAGGTGACAAAAAAAATCCATGTTATAAAAACTACAGGATACATTATGAATGACTTCAAAAAAGAAAGAAAGAATGTCATTTATAAAGCCAAAGAAAAAACTTCATATATTCATATTTACCTGAAAGATTAATTCAAACAAATTAGGCAGAAAAAGCATCAACACAGACAAAAATCCCATGTACTACCACCCACTTTCCCTACCTTATTAATCTAAAATGGTTAACTGCAACTGAAACCTATCCGATTTTCCCCTTCCAATAAACATATACATATAGACCACTTGTATGTTCCTCTGTGTGTGCATGGACACAATCACACAGACATTTACCCTCTAAAAAAAAGGTGGTAAGGTCTGAGACAAGAACAAGAATAATGAAAGTACTGATTAAAATAAACTGCCTGTAAAATAAGATATTACATTCATAAGCAGATCCCTCTCTAAATATATCAACCATTCTTTCCACCACTTTGAAACCAATCTGACCATAGAATAAACAAAATAAAATGCATATATTCTCCCCTTTCAAAAGAACAAGAAAAAAACCAGGATGAAGGTAGAAAACAGCAGATTCACTGTGAATAGATGAACAAAAACGAATTAGACAATTGGAAAAGAAAGGATAAAGAGGCCTAACAAAAACAGGATTCAATTGGCCATATAAGGAAACCTTCACTAATATTAAGTATAATCTTCAAAAGGATCCAGGCTTTTTCAGGAATGATGCTTGCAATTACTTATACTTCCAACCATTCCTGGGTTTTAAACAGTTGCTTCTAGTCTTATCAGAGTGTGTAAGCATCCTCTCAGATTTATAAGTAATTAGTCTGAAAAGCAGATTTTACTAGCTAAGTTCCTGTTTGCACCATCTGTTACCTGAGGACATAATTCCCTTACTAGGAGGCAGTAGCAAATGCCGGTCAGAAGACAGCAGCAGCAGCTTGGTGAGCCAAACAGGTTATATATGTCAATCACAAATTGTTTTTTAAAGTCAAAATAAATAGAAGCACATCAACACATGGAAGAAATATAAAGTTCCTTAGTGATATATTTGTAGCCTGCTACTTCTTTTAGGATTGCAGGGAGCTTTGTGTAAGTCAGTCTTGATTCCTAGTGACTGCTTCAGCAAGTCTCTGCAGTGGCCTCCTCAGAATTTACGATTTNCCTTCCTGAGCCAAGGTGGCGCAGTGGTTAGGGTGCAGTACTGCAGGCCACTTCAGCTGACTGTTATTTGCAGCTCAGTGGTTCTAATCTCACCGGCTCAAGGTTGACTCAGCCTTCCATCCTTCCGAGGTGGGTGAAATGAGGACCCAGACTGTGGGGGCGATATGCTATGTAAACCGCTTAGAGAGGGCTGAAAGCCCTATGAAGCGGTATATATGTCTAATTGCTATTGCTATTGCTAATCAACAGATAGAAATACGGAACCCATGATAGATCCAAAACCCTCTTGCCCATTATGAATCAAAATATTTTTCTTATCCTGCCTTTCTTTCTAATGGTATATTAATGTTAAAATATTTTCTCTATACCTCTTTCTCCATCCCCATAAACTTACTCAGGATTTTTAACAAGAAGTTTTTGGATGAAATCCCTGGCCAATGATGAAACGGAAGCAAATGTTTCTTCTGAATAATCCACATTGACTTGAGAAACGTTGAGGTATGTTTCTTGTTTATCTGCTCCCATAAATGGAGATTCATGTATAAGCAGCATGTATGAGATTACACCTACACTCCTGAAATTAGAGAAGGTATATGTTTTTCATGTATGTTAGAAATGAAAATATTTCTTGCCGATAAGTAACAGATGCTAAAACATTATCTTTTTATTGCTTTTTCATTTACCTATCAGAGAAAGTCATTCCAATTATATTAAAGTTTTCATATACTTGGATTACGGCTTTGATAAAATAAGTTCCTGAAACATGCAATGTTTTGTTTATATTTTCCACATAGGGGATCGAGCACCAGGATATTTGTCTCATCAGTGTCTTATAACAAATGTTAACTTGATTATATAAGAAACAAAAGGCTTTTCATAAAGACTTTAAAAATCCTGGCAAGCATGTCCCATGCTAAGACACAATCTAATTCTGCAATAAACCAGGGAAGTCACCTGCCTGATACTCAATCCAAAAGATAATTGTTACAGTGAATAGAAGCAAGTACCATACACATTCCATTGTACTTGTAGAGATAATGTGAATTACACACAAAACTTCCAGACATCAAACTTGAAATTAGTGAAGACATGAGCAGAGTTTGACGGCCCAAGTTCTGCAATTCAAGCATATTTTTCAGGAACAGAACTTAAGGATCTGTTCTGGTTGAGTTCTAAAATCACTAAAAAGTGATTTATTTGAAGTGGGATTGGGTTATTGGAGCAAGAATGAGAGGAGGATTGCTTCTGAAAGTAAGCAACTGTCTTCCTTATCCATATCCAAACTCATGAAAGCCAGTTTTGTATAGGGGTTAATGGCACCAGGGTTAGGGTGAAGCTCTGTGCCTGCACCTGCCATTCCGACGTCCCCTTCCCCTATGCCAGGCTGGGCCACCAAGCTGGAAAGTATGGGGACCGCTGGTTTATACGGTAAACTTGTTTCACCTGGAATTCATATTACATTGTATAAAGAATCCAAATAAATATAAGACAGTATGATGGTATTTCTGATCATTGAGGAAAAGTCAGAAAAACAAAGATAACAAACCACCACCGGTTTCATAGAAAACAGTAACTTATTTAACAGATTTTAATTAATAATACTCATAGATGACAGTTCTCCTTTAAATTAATCACCAACAGGTGATACTTAAATATACTGAAGCAAAAGTACATGGAAATCTGTTTTAGGCTGTTTCCACCTGGAAAAAAAACTCACAGGAAATAACTGTCTGCCCCAAATGCACTTTCTAGTTCAGGAAGATCATAACTTGTTCCCAAAGGCCATAAGTGTTCAAAAAGGATTTTCAAAGACTAATGAGACAATCAATAAGCTTTTAAGATGAAACTATACAATCAAGGTATTTAAAGTTGCTTTAATCTTTTAAGAAATTACCTTACCATATGTCTGTTGCTGTAGTAATGGGATCATAATTTAAGACTTCTGGTGCTGGAAGGAAAAGATACCATTAAATACAGTATTAAAATAATGTTATCATACATTCAAGATAATCGCTGATCTGCCACACTATTTTACAATACACTGAGAGTGACATACAGCTCACTAAAGATATTATTTATCGACAAGAGTGACTGTAGAAACTGACGGTATATACCCCACATTGGCTTGATTCACTCAATACACTAAACCATAATGTTATTTAACTGAGTTTAGCTTAGTGTAAACTTACCCACTATGTTTTGTAAACTATAGCTTAGTTTACATGTAAACCAAAAAAAATTTCAGTATTCTGATTTTTCCCATTTATTTCTAGGAATCTTGCCTTCGCTAATTTAAGTTCATTTGTACAAACCAGAAATGGTCTTTTAATTTGTTTCTCATAATGCACCTATCCAGCCCTCATAACACACAGAACTATATGTGATCATAAGTATCTTAACTGAATTTGGAGGCTGGGTGGCACA